CACTGTCTCCGTTTCTGTCCGTGCTGCTATAAACTGCAGCGTCCTGGGTTGTGTGCCCCTCCACAGCGCTCCCAGTCCTGCCTCCAGGTCGGGGCACATCTCTGCCCTTTGTGCTTCTAAAACCGCCAGCCACTCCCAGTTCGCATGCGTGACCCGCCACTCTGGGTTTCCACCCCCGGGGCTGCCCTAAAGTCCTTTCCCCACTGCTACTGGTCTGTGAGTCTGAGCCCCACCCCCAGCACGCGAGGCTGTCACTCACCGGTGGTGCAGGATCCCCATGGCCAGGCTCCCTCACGCTGCCATTTATCCTCCGAAATCTACCTGTGGAATCACGGCTCCCCGCTTTGTACCTCAAAACCAACTGCCTGCGATATTCTGTTTGTAGAGATCCAGATCTTCTTACATCTCAGGCTGGTTTCGTGGGTGCTCAGAGTGGTCTGGTAGATATCCAGCTCAATTCTGGGGACCAGTTGAAATAGGCTCCCCTAATCCTTCGCCATCTTTCCTTCTCTCCTTTATTCAACTTTCTGAAATAAAACATTTTATTCATTGTAGGCACCTTAATTATTTCATATCATTACTTTTATACATTTACTGTATTTATTGTTTCTCAATATCTAAATAGATATCTGATATCTATCTAAATTTCCAGGATTTATTTTTAAATCTCAAGAATGATTAATACTAAAATTTGTGTTACTTAATTGTCATTGGTCAACAATGTGATCATAGCATGGTATTATTGTTTTTTTCCCTGGGGCAAAATAAATAAGCTAGGGTATAATTTCCATTTTTGATTGAGGAAAAAGCAAGAAGAGATAGTGACTGAATCAGATACTTGTGTGATTGAAATGTAAGTTTCATTTGGCACTAAAACTACACTTAGCCCTTTCTTATTAAATGGATCCATTTGAATATATTTCATGGGCACATTATCTGCTGTTACCTTTTTGTTGTCCCTAACAGTTGGCTGTTGAAATTAATACATGATGATGTTTAATTTTATTAGCTTAGAGGCAGATATTCACAACACACATTTCTAACAATAATTCTAATAGAAAAAGGAAAGCAGGTTTAAAATTAAAACATATATTTAAAAAGTAGGTTTAGGGGGCACCTGGGTGGCTCAGCCGTTAAGCATCTGCCTTCAGCTCAGGTCATGATCCCAGGGTCCTGGGATCGAGCCCTGCATCCGGCTCTCTGCTCAGCCAGGAGCCTGCTTCTCCCTCTCCCACTCCCCCTGCTTATGTTCCCTCTCTCATTGTGTGTGTCTCTCTCTCTCTGTCAAATAAATAAATAAAATCTTAAAAAAAAAAAAGGATAAAAAAGTAGGTTTAGGATTATTTTTAAAAAAGCAGGTTGAAAAACTTAAAGAGCAGTTTTAAAATGAAGATATCTAAAGTAAATCTTCTACTTCCCATTGAATAATAATAATATCACTTCATGCATATGATTTTACTCCTTTAAATAAAATATATATTTAAAAGCCGCCTTTGTGAGACCATGGATGTGTTAACTAGCCTTATGGTGGTAATCATTTTACAATATATACACATAAATATAAAATGTCTATCTATAGATTGGAGATATATATATATATATATATATGTACACACACAGATCTATAAACACACACACACATATGAAACTATTACATTGTATACCTTAAACTTACACAGTGTTTTATGTCAGTTGTCTCTCAATAAAGCTGGTGAAAAGTCTTTACAAACTGGGCCAGATAGAAATAAATGAATACAGGGGCGCCTGGGTGGCTCAGTTGGTTAAGCGGCTGCCTTCGGCTCAGGTCTTGATCCCGGGGTCCTGGGATCGAGCCCCGCATCGGGCTCCCTGCTCGGCGGGGAGCCTGCTTCTCCGTCTCCCTCGGCCTGCCTCTCTGCCTACTTGTTCTCTCTCTCTATCTCTCTGTCAAATAAATAAATAAAATCTTTAAAAAAAAAAAAGAAATAAATGAATACAATCAAAGTTATTTAAAAATCTGATTTAGGGGGAGGTGGGATGATATGCTGATTTATCTATGGACCATAAAATTGCAAAAAGTAATTTTAATACTTACAATTTTTCAGCTCCAGACAAGAATCCACAAAACATAAGGGTTCAAGCCTCTCAACCCAAGGAAATGATTATAAAATGGGAGGTGTGTATTCTCTAATGTGTTATACACTACTTTGTGTTCTTTTTTTCTTTCTTTTAGGTCTGCATGCTAAGTGTAATGATAGAAAAATATTTTTTCGAACAAAGATATAAGATTTGTATGTTTTATAAATATATTTCATTTGTATATTTTACAGATCATTGTGATTAGAATGTTATGAGATATAGTTAAACAGTGGTAAATAATGTAAGGAAGGTTATACAGGTTGATTTAATTGCAATCCATTATCAAAAGTTTCAGATTCCTAGTATTTTTACAACCAATATTCTAAATCGTCTCTTGTTCAAAAAATACTGAAAAACTTTCCTAAATTTTAGTACATGGTCTAATAAATATTATGCATATCAGAAGGATATCTGACAAATAAATAACCACTCCTTTTAAGCACTATTAAGCATTTTCTGTGCTCTTTTCTGAGAATAGCTTTGTCATTAATGCCTTTTTCTAGATATAGGAACTGAGGTCAGGGTGGTAGGCCGTCTTGCCTGTCACCATACCACTAGAAATCAACAAACATACCATAGGTGTCTTTGGACTTCAAATTGCACTTTTCACCCCTTTACATATTTCTATTAAAGGTTATGAAATAGACTTTTGTCTTTGAATCTGGTGTAAAATTTTATATCTGTTCAGAGAACTTTAATTGTTTTGAGTGTCATTTCTAAATTCCTTCTGTAACAATGGGTAAGTTTCTCCGCCTCTCTGTGGACATATTCATGAGCAGATAATTTAACCTACTTGAATATAGATTACCATTCAGACATTCTGATTAATAATAGACTTCCAACCTTAAATTCATTGAATTTTACATATTATTTATTTGACAGAGAGAGAGACAGCGAGAGAGGGAACACAAGCAGGGGGAGTAGGGGAGGGAGAAGCAGGCTCCCCGCTGAGCAGGGAGCCCAATGCAGGGCTTGATCCCAGGACCCTGGGATCATGGCCTGAGCCGAAGGTAGACGCCTAATTACTGAGCCACCCAGGCGCCCCAAATGTAGAACATTTTTGAATTTATGTGGGAATATACTAATTTATTTCTAAACCTCTTTCCAGATACGATTTTGGGAAGAACTTTAGGATATATAAAGTTTAGTCTGATTTTTTTTTCACTCAGTATTTTTATATCAACACTAACCCACTTTTCCCACTTCAGTGAAATTAAGTTTTGCAAATTTAAAATTGGAAAAAAATTGGTAATACACAGAATCTAAGTATATTCAAGAATATAATTTCTTTCCTTGAATTTGTGGCCACACATATTTGCTACCACACTGTCTTCATAATTGCTTAATTTATAATCTGAAATTATGTTAATATCTCATTCTTGTAGAGTGTCTGTCTTTTTCTCTCTTAAGTTCCCTAGCAATTTCCATAAGATAGATGATATAACTGGTTAGCTGAAAATAATAGTATGTAATTATCAGGTCAGTTCCTCAGAGAAGCACACCATGTTCCACCAACATCAGCTCATTAATCCTCAGCACTCCTTCAGAAGGGAGACAGGAGCTGGATCGTATCGGCCTTATATTTCATAGAGAGATGCTGGGACTCTCATTTTAATGACCTTCCCCAGATGTCATGCGCTCAGTCAGTGATGAAAAGAAGACCCCCACTCCCACCTCTGCTTTGGCTCCTCTGGTCTGCTATCTTTGTTGGGGGCCTGTTTAAGAATTTGCTGTGATTTTGTTGCCCGTTGTCTGAAAGCAAATACAAAATTCTCCTGCTGTTTCTTCCGGAGTCTGGACACCAAAGGGCCTGGTAATTTAGATAAGATTTTTCTTAAAAGTGTTAGTTATGGTGGCAGTTTTATTTTAAAATTTACAGGAGAGTTTTATTAAATGTAGCTCCTTTCCTTGGAACAAAACATGTGTAAATTGAATAATTTTATTTGTACTCATTTATTGTTGGTAGAGACTGAAGGAATTTGTAATTCCAGATTGCAGTATGAAACTAAAAGCTTGTGGCCAGATTCATCTGGGCACTGCTAAAACCCCTGGTGGATTTATATCTGTATGGTAGTGAAAATTATCTTGGTGCAAAACTTAGAATGCAAAGTATAAATAATGATGTGAAATTTCAGAAAGGTTTTGTTTTGATTTTTTTTCTCATAGCTAATTTAAATATTCACCTTGGAGTTAGCATAGACTTGAAATTGTTTTCCTGGTACAGCATTACTTTCAACCTAATTCCAACCAGTCCATCTAAAAATATTTTAGTAACTTAGATTGAGTCAAGAAGCATTGCAAATTCTGTAAGAAAACATTGTATATGACATTATTTTATTTTATTTATTTCATTTCATTTCATTTCATTTTATTTTATTATTTGGAGAGAGAGAGCAAGCAGTGGGAGGAGGGCCAGAGGGAGAGAGAGAATCTTAAGCAGGCTCCACACCCCCAGTGCAGAGCCTGGGGCGGGGCTCCATCTCACGACCCTGAAAACATGACCTGAGTGGAAATCCTGAGTCTGATGCTTAACCGACTAAGTCACCCAGGCTCCCTGATATATATGATATTATTGAATTACTCATAGATATATAGACAAAATTACTGTTTATATAAGTGAACCTTATAATCTAGGACTTAAGTCACATTTTTTTATGTAGTCTATATATGATTCATTGGAATGCATATTCCCATTTTTGAAATGAAACAGGTGATTTAAATCACATTAATTTTTTTAATTAAAATATTGCTTAATTAAAAAAACTAAAGTGGAAATAACCAATTCCCTATACTAGAAATTCCTTCATTAAATTTTCAGCAAAAGAAAGTGGAAGTGGGGATGGGGTTGGGGGGTGGGGAGGACTCTCTCTTAAAGAAATAGTCAAGAAGCTGGGGAATTATTTTATTAGAGAGAGGAGCTATATCTTCTAGGCACTAATGTATAACATGCGTATTATCCAGAAATAAAGATTTACTCAATCTCTCTCTTCTCTTGGAAGGCAGATGGAGAAGGATGGATGGAGTCAGGTAGAAAGAGTTCTGACTGAAAAGTCACGGGAAATCTCTTTCACAACCATACAATTCATGATCATGTCCTTTCTGTATCTTCCAGTTCTTTGGGAGTAAAAAAGTAGAGTATAGAGGAAAGCATAGACGAAAGCAAAAATCCTCTGTGGAATTTCTTAGTAAATTCTTTCATATATGAACAGTGAGATTTAATCACAAGGGCATAATCAAGGCATCTAAATTGTGGGCTTCTTACTGCTTAGGGAGGTGAGGGACTAACTTTCAAACCTAAACTTACAGAAAGACAAAAATTTTCACAAGTGTTTCTAAACCAAAGAGGGGGATTTAAAATCTTCCAAGACAGGGTCCCTCTATTGTGGTGTTTCTTATTGCCATTTGGAGCGGCTTGCCACCGTCTCTGACTCAGCCTATCTGTGATCACACTACATGAGTCTTTCCTTCTGTCTTAGCCTTTGAAATCCATGGAGCAGAATGGACCAGGGCTGGAGTACAGAGTGACCTGGAAGCCACAGGGAGCCCCCGTGGAGTGGGAAGAAGAAACAGTCACAAACCACACCTTGCGGGTGATGACGCCTACTGTCTATGCTCCTTATGATGTCCAAGTCCAAGCCATCAATCACCTTGGCTCCGGCCCTGAGCCTCAGTCAGTGATTCTCTATTCTGGAGAAGACTGTAAGTGATGTGCCTGAAACTGCTAAGCACTTCAAGAGCAATTTCTTTCAAGTATATTGCATTTCTGTTGATGACCATTTTTGAGCAACTACTGCATGCAAAGAGGATGTACTAGCTGTGGGAGATATAAGAAATTTAAGGTTGACTGCAGGATAGCCAATCATTATAGAGTGGTAAGGAATTATGTTAAAAGTTTTAATTTTATTCTATTTCCCAGTAAAGCTATTTCTATATGAAAAATCAAAGACCAGTACTCATCACTACAAATAGTTAAGCAGCATAACTGTCATGTTTCCAGTTACATTTGTCCTTACTTGTCAGAGACTTTCTAACAGCCACCTGATGTCATCCCTGGCCTCAGTTATATTTTTGGAACCTTCCTAATGCAGATGAGATACAGACTGAGATTTGTCTATAGCATTACAAACACACACGTACACGCTGCGCATGCACGCACACACACACACAGACACACACACACACACTGTTTTGAAGTATTAGTGATACGCTCATTATTAAATTCTTATACCATAATAACTGCCACAAATAGATTAAAAAAAGGAAAGATGGTGTATTCCATGTCACTACACAGGAGTTATTCTCATTGTTTTTCCAGTATCCAAGGTAGTATTTTGATCCAAGAATGGAAACAGGTTGAGAATGTGAAATTACTAACTCCTTATATACCTGCTATCTAAATCCTTCTACCCAAATAAAATTACACTGGGCATATCACTGTGAGCTAAGATATTATTAGTCTTGGCTGCTCTGCATTTGGTTTATTCCTCTGTAGTTAGTTCCCCTATAGAATGGGGATAATAATACCACTTTATAGGGTTGTTCTAAGGATTATGTGAGCCAGTCCAGTGAGCCAGTTGCTCAGAACAGTGCCTACACATAGCATATGCTCAGTTAATGTTAGCTGTTGTTATTAATAGACTGATCAAGCTCTCAAGTAATTTTGGTTATATTGTTTAGTTCATCTGCTTCTAAAGGCAAGATGCCCACAGAATATTTCACTGGCCACTGGTTCCAGTTACACTGCCCACACTGTATCCACCTGGAAAGCTGCATTTCTCAGTGTGGTATAAGCTATCTTCTCCTAGAAACCTATTTGGGCTCTGAAACTCCTCTGTAATGAGAAACTCTCTTGGTTCTATTTAGAATTGATTTCATAAGAGTGCTGTGCTCAGATTAAGCAATATGAAAAATCACCTTTTGAAAAGGATCCTAATAATCACATTTGAGGATATTGAAAGCTCATCATTCTTATGTGCTTAACAGATCCTGATACAGCTCCAGTGATCCATGGGGTGGATGTTATAAACAGCACATTAGTTAAAGTTACCTGGTCAACAATTCCAAAGGACAGAGTACATGGACATCTGAAAGGATATCAGGTTTTTATCATAGATTTTCTTGTTGCTGAATTAATATGTTAAATGCAAATAAGAACTGATCTTAGAAGAAGCTAGAAGAGAATCTGCCACCATGGTTGGTATGTTAAAAGGTTCCTATTTCCATTGCAGATAAATTGGTGGAAAACAAAAAGTCTGTTGGATGGAAGAGCACATCCCAAAGAAGTAAACACTCTGAGATTTTCAGGACAAAGAAACTATGGAATGGTTCCTTCTCTAGATGCCTTTAGTGAATTTCACTTAACAGTCTTAGCCTATAATTCCAAAGGAGCTGGTCCAGAGAGTGAGCCTTATATATTTCAAACACCAGAAGGAGGTAAGAATAACAGTGAAGAATAATGCCAACAATGGGAATTATCCAATGGCCGAATTAAACATTTACCTCCTTATTAGTAGTTAATAAATATGTACTTCATATGAGTTAGCTTCTCAATTTCTTTGGAAAACTGGAATCTAATGGAGCTTTGTTTTTTTTTAAAGAAATTTACCAATTATCTTCTTGGTCTTATGTTTTCTAGTACCTGAACAACCAGCTTTTCTCAAGGTCATCAAAGTTGATAAAGACACTGCCACTTTAACCTGGGGACTACCTAAGAAATTGAATGGAAACTTAACTGGCTATCTATTACAGTATCAGATAAGTAAGTAGATATCTGAATTGGATCCACCTATTTTTTAAAAAGATTTATTTATTTATTTATTTATTTATTTATTTATTTATTTATTTATTTATTTATTTATTTAAGAGAGAGAGAACATTGAGCAGGAGGGGCAGAGGGAGGGAGAGAGAATCCCAAGTAGACTCCATGCAGAGTGCAGAGCCCCATACAGGGCTGGATCCCATGACCCATGAGATCATGACCTGAGCTGAAACCAAGAGTCGGATGCTTAACCGACTGAGCCACCCAGGTGCGCCTGGATTCACCTGTTAATACTTCATTTTTGGTTGAGTATTTGTTTTGCTCTGCTGAGATTCTAATGATCATGGTTTGTAAGCTGGCATACTTCCTTACAACAAAGGGGTCTGTAAATCGGCTTGCAGACCAAATCCAGCCTGTGGCCTGTTTTCATAAACAGGCCATACATGTCATTTACATTTGTCTGTAGCTGCCTTCTCACTACAGTGGCCCAAGCTGAGTAGCTGAGACAGAGATGGTGTGGCTCACCAAGGCTGAAATATTCACAGTCTAGTTCTTTTCAGGAAGGCTTGGCAATCCCTGTTTTAGAAGAAGAGTCAGTAGGTACCAGAAGACGTATATTTAATACTTACATATGAGTCGCCTTGAGAATTAAGAAACATGCTAAAGAAAAGAGTAAGTAAATGATGTCACGGAAATTCAAAGCTCACATAATTTCCACACTGCACTGCCTCTTTGTGTCTGACACGTGCTCTGGTCTCAACCCTAAATGTACTGTTTGTAGAATCCTCTGTGAGTAGCCCGCTGGTGTAGGCAGGTTGTGTTAAGAACATTAAAGAGTTATCTTTGGACCACTACTCAGAATAGACTGTGCTCTTGTGCGGCTGTGCCATTTGGGTGAAAACAACATGTTTAGAGGAAATCAAGTCATTTTTAATCATGGTGCCTTCCATGTCCAACAGTTCTTCACATCTAAGCATCATCTCACAATGGAAATTAGGGAACTGAAATCACAGAGAGTTTTAGACTTTGAGGACATGAATTCCAAACACAGAATCAAAAATAAGGGACAACATAACGTGAATTGTTAAGGCTGTGAAATCTGAGGCACTGTTGTTCCTGTTTATTTCTTTAGTAAATGACACCTATGAACTTGGAGAACTGAATGATATCAACATTACAACTCCATTGAAGCCCAGCTGGCGTCTCTCAAACCTCAATGCAACTACCAAGTACAAATTCTACTTGAGGGCTTGTACTTCAAAGGGCTGCGGAAAACCAGTCACAGAGGAAAGCTCCACGTTAGGAGAAGGGGGTAAGTGCAGGAGGCTTCTGTATGCTGTTTTTTAAACTGCTCTGAAGGGAGTGTACCAAGCTAGTCATTGTAAATTAGAAATGATTGTGATCTCAATCTGTCTGACCTTTTGTTTTTCACTGATATAAATACAGAATTTATTTCTCTTGTTTGTAAAGTTCACATTGACTCAATTTATGGATTTCTACACAACAGCAGTGAAACTATAGCCTCAGTGTATGTAAGGTCAGGAACTATAATTTTACTTAATTAAAATAGGAGTACGTAAGGTCATGAAGTTATTCATAAGATTACTAGAGGGATATTTTTCTTTTGGAAGTGTTTACATACAGAAAAATATTTGCCTCTTGCCCTGGTGGACGTTTTGTAACAATGATCTAATACATTCCTCTTCCATGTCTTGGCTTATATATATATATATATATATACATATATATATGTAGCAGTTTTATTTTACTGTCTACCGGTTGATGCCAAATACTGGCTTGGAAATGGCCCATCAACCTCTGATTTAATTTGTAGAATTCTCCAAATTCAATTGCACTTTTCGGTTTGGTTTTGTTTTTTTCCAACCCAGACCCGTTTTCCTTCCCAAATTATTTCGACAATTATGATTTTAGCAATGTTCTTGCTGAACTTAAAAGGAGAAAAATTAAGAAGGCAGAGCATAAAAAGGAAATGAATCAGAGGAACTGCTGCACACACTAATAAGTTAAAAAAGAGGGCTTTGTGTTGGATTCAAGTGGATCAGACCTAGAAGGATATTTGATGGAGGGAACAAGGAAAAGGAGATGGCAGGAAGGCAGATAGAATCATTTGCTTATCATGTACTATGTGTCAGACACTGCCCTGGACGGGTTTCCAAATTTTAGATTAGAAAAAAAAAAGATTGAGTCAGTCAATGGAAAAAGAAAATAGTAATGAAAAAAACTAAGTTGTCACTTATAAAATATGTATATTATTATAAAATATATTCAAGTGTATGTGAATCACTGTCAAAGCAGGGTTTGTGTGTGAATGGTTATGCTCTGACCTTTACTGTCTGTTTCTCCTTCTTATTGTCCCTACTGTGTCTACCTAATGAAGGACTTACGTTTTCCTTAGATACCCGAAGTACTCAAAACTCCCCTTTATGGGAAAAGTATGTATACTCAAAGAGTTACTTCCAAGAAACCCACACATTGTTCCCAAGGACAAATGAGACACCAAGTGAAATGAAGAACTCATTTACCTACTCAAAAGAGAGATTTAAAGATGATGATTGAAAACGTTTTAGTAACTAAAAGGATCTTATTTCTCAAGAGTTCAAAGTGGCATCAAGTGTTCAATACAGAGAAAAGAAGTCAGAAGAGTAGTAATCTAAATATGCGACTTCTGTATTTTTCAAAACAGGGTTTAAGGAATGGAGAGGGTTGCTATTTTGTTAGAACCAAAACCATAATATGCATGAGATATGCTAATCCCATTATTGCTAATTTGCAGCAGGTAAGAAAAAAAATTCATAAAATTCTCTTACAATAGTTATAGTTACCATATGCATATATGGAAGTATTTAGAAAATCTCAGTTTGGTCGCCTTCATGTTGGAAAAACTGTTTTTAGCAGATGGAAAATGCTGTTTGTGTTGTTTTATAAATGATGCTGCATCTTCATTGCAAATTAAAGATGCAGCTAATGTGCTTGAGTGTCTTACAGCCTAGTTCTTCACTGCCCTATGTCTCAGGAATTTGAAAATGTTCCTTACTAGTATGTTTGTGCTCTTTTTCAGAATTCTGCATTTTCAGCTACTGCCCCTTTGCCCATTGACACTGCTTTCTCTTCTGTAGGCATATCTTGCCATATTTGCAGGAAAGAAACTATAATAATCTCTTTTGCCACTGGATTTCAGCATGATCTTTGGAAAAGGAAAAATACATATTTTCACTGAGGAGATAAATCTTGATATCACTAAACACTCTAAAAATAACTTTTGTGCAAATTGGAATCTGTTTCTGCGTATCTTTCTTCTCCTTGCTCTGCCTAGATAGCACATTTTAAGGTCATCTGACATTTATTCAGAAAATAGGATTTGATACATAAGCATTTATTTTTTATTTTTTTTTTATTTTCTGGTTGTCACTCTGATTTTGAGGTGGCTCACATTCCATAGTCTAAGAGGGGGAAGATGATGGAGCTAATCAGAAATATTTGTGTCATTGCTGGTTTGAACAGAACACTTGCTTTGCACTGTTTTTCAAAAGCTTGCACTATTTAATGTTATACTAATATTTCTGTTTTCCAAAGTCAAAATTAATTGTGTTCTATTTCAGTGGTGCTCAATCTTAAAGGCTTTGTTCAACTAATATAATTGGCCTTATTTCTCCCATGGTGACATTTTTTAATGAAGCCCTTTTGTTATCAGTAACTATATCATCAATTTCTATTCTATGGTTAAAAGTTATAACCAGATTTTAATGTGTGCCATATACCCATTTGAAACAGGGTTTCAGAACTTTTAATATTCTCAACATGGCATATATTATTTTCAGTGTAAATTATTTACATTTATTATGTTGAATTGATTCTCAGCAAAACTATGGATCAAATACAAAAATATTTTACATGTTTTGTTGCAACATCAGAAGTTAAATATATATTTAATTACACTCAACTCATTTTTATCTGCTACTATGAGATTCTACAGTTAATATATTGATATAGTCATCTTTCTTTTTTAAAAGTATTAATGTCTCATAATATTTAAAAAACAGTGCATTTCATTTAAAGGTACTTATAAACCTGTACTTTATGTACCTATAAACCTGCTTATGTTTCTACAAATTTCAAGTATTTAATATATGACCTTGTTATGATACTATTCCATCAATATTTATAGAGAAGACCAAGACAAAAAAGTAATAGATATTTAAAATTATAATGTCATTTGCTTTCAAAAATAAGCCATAATGGCCATGTTTAGTTTCCTGCTAGGTCTGTGAAAGTTCAAATTGCACAAAATGACACTGTATAATTTTTTTGAAGTCTGTGTTTGGTTTTGAACCATTCATGTAATTGGGCAGATTTATAGTACCATTTCATCAACAAGTACGTCATCTTTAAAGGACATGAATTAAATTCATTTCATTTCCTCCATTTCAGTATATTAAGAAAGGAAATCTTGAAATGTTGATTTTCTTGATCTCCCCAGTAATTCAAAAGCTATCTGAGAAAAAAAATGCTGCAAATGGCTCTCTTCTCAAATAACAGTGTTTTGTTTGTTTGTTTGTTTGTTTGTTTTCTTTTCATGTCCTGCTTTTCAATGATTACGATTTATATGATTTAACTGTGTACATTTCTTAGGTAAAAGTATCGGGAAGATACCAGAAGGAGTCAATCTTACTCAAAAGACTCACCCAGTAGAGGTATTTGAGCCGGGAGCTGAACATATAGTTCGCCTATTGACTAAGAATTGGGTTGATAACAATAGCATTTTTGAAGATGTAATTGAGACAAGAGGGAGAGGTGAGACGTGAGATTGTATTTGGGGCATTCTTAGATAATAAATCTGTTTTGTAGATTATTTAATTTTACATACTTCCTGTATTAAAGATAAAAATATGTAGTACATTAGTTACAGAGATAGCAGTTTCAGTTTGTTTTGGCATAGCATTTTTTTATTATTGTTATGTTCAGTTTAGCCAGCGTATAGTACATCATTAGTTTTTGATGTAGCGTTCAACGATTCATTAGTTGCATATAACACCCAGTGCTCATCATAGCATTTTAAAATTATCAAAACGAAAAATGTTCCACAAAGATCCAACATATTCCTTATTGTTTTTGCCAGAGTAGTTGACTAAAAAAAATACCGCCTGCCAATTAACACATGTTAATAACAAAACTAAACAGAAAACCAAAACAGAGTAAAACCCGCAGAAACTCCACGGCGATCTGCATATAACCAAGGCAGCTTATGCTTTTGCTTGCTTGCGCTGCTTCTGTGTTTCACTCAGTCTGCCTCCACTATCCCTTTTTGGTTTTCATCCTCAGAGTCAAATGCAACTTGAGAGGGCCCTTTCTAAATACAGAATGAACGATTTATCAGTATTCTTCCAATGAAATGTCCTTTAAATCACATTCCCTCTAGGGTCACTGAAAGGAAAAATAAAACGGATGCTATTTTGTATGTTTAAAAATGATGTTTCATTTTCCCAAAGGGGGCATAATCCCAAAGACGGTCTCTAGCATTCAACGTGTGACTTCTCTTTGTACAACAGAATACGCCGGTTTATACGATGACATCTCCACTCAAGGCTGGTTTATTGGATTGATGTGTGCAATTGCTCTTCTCACACTAATACTGTTAACTGTTTGCTTTGTGAAGAGGAACAGAGGTGGAAAGTACTCAGGTAAAGCTGTTTCTTAATATAGTAATATACTTTCAGTTTATTAAATAGTATTTTCTAGGAGGCATTCTTCAGAGACATCTTTTATTTTTTAAATTACACATTTAAGTCAAATTTATGGTAGCACAATAGATATGCAATATACTGAGAGGGAAAAAAAAAATCCTGTATTAACTAACCAAAGGATGTAAGGTCTAGAATATTATTTTCAGGTGGTTACTAGTCTCTAACGAGGCATATAATACTTCCAGCCTTCTATTTTCTGCCTGTAAAATATCAGAGATGTTAAACACTGATCACTAAACCACACACACATATTTTAAGAGGAAGGACCTATTTACAGCATGCCTTGTCATGTATTTGTGACCCAGAGAATGTTTTCACTAGTACCTTCTAATAGTACTGTCTCCACTAGTCAGCTTTACTAGAGTTAATCATTGCTGGGAATGCATTTTTTATTACCATGACATATATTAGATACACTGCCTCCTGATTTAATGTACATAAAATGTAAATAAAAACCATCAGAGTTAATATAACAGTTGGCTTTAATTTAATTCAACTTCCAAATTTATCTTTTAGATATACATATTATGTTGTTGCTATTATTATTATTGTTATTGTTATTGCTTAGTGTTCAAGATGCTTTTATATAAGGGGAAAGATATAGATCCCACTGTTATTAGTTTGATGATGTTCAGATTAGTGAGAAGTTCTTTTATTGGCTTATTATTCATTTAACAAATATTTATTGGGAACCTATATGTATATTGAACAATCAAAGAAGAGCATAATTTTTAAATTTTTACAACATCTAATGCAATTTATGCATGGAAATTTATGCAATCATAGATCTCTTTTTTATTCCTATGAGGGCTGAATTATTATGAATTAGATTTTCAATGATTAAACGTCCTAGTTAATTGGAAAATTTAAAGACATATAGCATTCCTTTTTGAGGATCCCCAACAAATAGTCACTTGTGAAGTGTGACCCTCTCCAAATTCTAATGATGGTGACTAACATAACATAATAAAAAAAGAAAAAGAAAAGAAAAGAAAAAAAAAAGTCAGCATTTCACATTATAGGACAACTAAAAGAATCCCTTAGGTCTCTGCAAGTAGTAGTAAAAGATGACATGAAGAAGGATCATTACAGGGTTGCTGGGTTTATCTCACAGAGTCAAAGAATGAATCTTGCAGACACAAATGGGTGAAGTGAAGTGAAAGTTTATTAAGTGAAGGTGAGAGCAGAAAGGAAAGAAAAAAGCTCTCAGAGTGAGAGGGGTCCTGACAGGGTTGCCACTGAGGACTTTTAGGGGCAGGCTTTTATTGAGAACGGACTGGGAAGCCCGTGGCCTTGAGAGTCTTCTGCCATCTTGGTTTGTTCCCTTATCTCTTGTTCCGCTCTGTCTCAGCATCTCCACCTGCCAGGCATAGTTTCCAAGCCTGGTCAGGGGAGTCAGGGGCCTCCTATCTCTCCTGCCTAAACCTTAACCCTTTCCCTGCTCATGGGATGGGACCTGTGGGCAGAAATTGCTATACTGGGATTGTGAGCAGTGACTGATTGTATACTTTTTAATTCGTGGGGATGAGGGATAGCACAAATCTCCAAGGAATCTGGAAGCAAGGCTTTCAGGGCCTCGAGGGGTCAGCTGCTGCCAAGATAAGGTTCCTTTTAAACGTTAAGGCTCTAAAGCAGCCACGAGTGCCTTGAGGAAGGTCATGTTCTCCATGTTTCAGGTATCTATCAGTGGGCTGTAAGCTCTAAGGAGATTTTAATGTAAACTACATTTCTTTTGCCTTTGTTTCCCACATCAGGATTTTTTTTTTTAATTTTATTTATTTTGAGAGAGAGAGCGAGTGAGCGAGAGAGTACAAGCAGGGGGAGGGGCAGAGGGAGAGAGAGAGGGAGAAGCAGACTCCCTGTTGAAGCAGGGAGCCCGATGTGGGGCTCGATCCCAGGACCCTGGGATCATGACCTGAGCTGAACGCAGACGCTTAACCGACTGAGCCAGCCAGGCGCCTCTCACATCAGGATTTTTGTTTGAGTTTTCCTAGTAAAGTTAAACAAGAGCCCCCTTGCCCTGTGTCCCACTATTAGGAATAAATCAAATTTAAAATGTCACTATAGACCTGAATGTTCTGATTTTTGAGGCAATTATGGGTAAGAGAGAGAGCAGAACAACTAAATGGTTGACTTTTAATCACTTTAGCTTAGTGACATAGATCTGGTAGGAGCCTATGACATCATCAAAAAGTTTTGGATAGTAAAATGTGTATCTAGTAATTTGGTCTCCATTAAGAAACCATAACTAAGTTTGACTCTTCCAGTAAGACTTGTTGCCCACATAATACTGAATAGCCACATGAAGATCTGCAACATGCTGTAATTCTGATGACAAATCAGGAGAATCCAGGAGATCATTTTCCCTTTTTTGCATAAACAAGGAGGTAACTAATGGATTGTAGATACAACCACAAAGAAAAAAACTTGACTTACTGGTATCAAAAAATTGGAGCAATGCTGTTCTCATTGATTATCCATCTTTAACAACACAGTTAGTATGTCTTTAAAAATTATTTGTGTTCCTTTCCCCTCTTTGTTTTTTAGTGAAAGAAAAGGAAGATCTGCATCCAGATCCAGAAGTTCAGTCAGTAAAAGATGAAACCTTTGGTGAATACAGGTAAACAGTGTTCCATTTTAAAATGTATTAAAACATGTACTGATCAGGTTATAAGCTTAAAAATACAAAAACGAACAAGTATTTATTCTTAAAATAAAGGTTACACTACTATATTGTAATGCCTTTTTAAAGAATAGTTTGCAAAAATAGGACCTGCTTAAGAGAGAGCAGCCGACCTCCAGGTGCAGGGGTGTGTGTAGCCACACTCTAGGTAGACGTGTGTGCTGGGAGACTTTTCTTAAAGCTCTGTGTGCTATGCAAAAGGACACTATTTCACTATTTTTATTTAGAGTGAATATCTATTTGGAGTATTAAAACATCTTGAAGTCTTCAGCATGGCCATTATGGGCCCAAGTTGTATCCAATTTATATCCGTAAACATGTATTCTGTGTACCTACTGTCTAGATTTACAAAGGTGAATGAGTTACAGATCCTAGTCTGCAGAGGGAAAAAACCTATCTCTGCAAATCACTGTAATTAGGTAAAGAGAGTAAGAGTGCAAAAAGGGGAGCAGCTCTGTCTGCCTTGAAGGGATGCTGATAATGGATCATCCAGAGATAAGATAGGCTGTAAAGAATGAAATGGATTGTGTTACTGTAAACTACTGGGTGGAGCATGACCAAACTTAAGGTGGAGAAGAATGCCATACCTGGGAGGAATTGCCTGGTGTCTGGAGGAGTGAGGTAGCGCTTGAGGATGCATTCAACTTCCCATTCTCTTGTTGTTGCTCACCATCTTACCCCTTCCACCACCATCTCTGTTTCTTAGCCCTTCCTGTTTGGGACGTCCTTGTTTTCCGTCAGGTCCTCTGTATATTGCAGGCAAGAGAGCTTGCAACTCCCGGGCTTATACAGCCTTTAGCACACAGGAGGCCAAATTCATATCGCAAAAGAGACCTGATTGACTCTAACTGGCCCATCCCTGGATCCATTACTATAATCAATGACATAGAGCATTATGATGAGCTGTTCTGGGTTAACCGATGTACACCTGAGCCTCATTATAGGCTCTACTTTGCTCTATACTAATTCTTATTTTTTCCACTTAATCAAAGCTCTTTATATTTTTATATTTCTTGATTAATCACTTCAAGTTCTTTCAGAATAAGGATCATTAGAGGAAGAAGAAGGAAGGAAAGAGGGGAGAGAAGGAGGGAGAGAAGGAAAAAGGAAGGGAAGAAGAGAGACTGAAAGAAAGAACTTTACAAATTTACAAATTGTGGCTCAAATTCCATGAAGCAAGAATCATTAGGGGCCTATGGCAACTGTTCAAAATATATTTGAAAGACAAATATTAATAGTTCAATTTTATAGGCAAGAAAACTATGATAATGCCTTGTTCAAAAACTCATTCCCCTACACCCTGCTGCCTCTTTAAAAAGATGCCATCTCACACTAGTCAGAATGGCTACAATTAACAAGTCAGGAAACGACAGATGTTGGCGAGGATGTAGAGAAAGGGGAACCCTCCTACACTGTTGGTGGGAATGCAAGCTGGTGCAGCCACTCTGGAAAACAGAATGGAGGTTCCTCAAAAAGTTGAAAATAGAGCCACCATATAATC